ACCCCTCCTCTCCACCACGCAAGATCCTGGCCGCCTGGCAGAGTGCCTGTCTTCCTTGCCTCCAGGAGGCCTTGCCTCCTGGCTTGCGAAATGCTCAGCCCCCAGGACTTTGAGATATTTGGAGGAAAAGCGGGAAGCAGCCTGAGCAGCTATCCTTGGCCCCGGGCCCTTGTGTTTTCCCCCAGCAACCTTGGCCCACGTGTGCTGTTTAGCCCAAAATTTGGCTGCTGTTCCCCTGCTGTGGAGCAGGGCCCTGGTGAGGCCAAAACAAACAGCGCGTGGGGGTGACTGAGCAGCCTTCCCAACCCCACTGGCCCACGCTTTTCTTGGGTCTCAGAGCGCTCTCTTGGATGAAGTTCCCCCCTCTTTAATGAGGAAATGCGTTAGTGAAATGGGCCCCCTGACATCTGTGCTCTGACAGCCCACATGGTGGCTGCTGGCCTTGGCTGCCGGCTCTCTTGTTCCCGTGGCAACCACTGTCCTGGGGGTGAACTGTATCCATGCCTCCAGGGATCTCTGTCGGGCTGGGCACTGGAGGCGGGATGGGGCTCCTCCTCTGACCCGGCCCACCAACCCCTGGCAAAATGCCTGGCACAGAGCAGACGCGGTGCCAGTGCTTCTCAGGAGCAGCCGACAGCCCCGGTGCCTTCCCCATGCCAGCTCTGTGCCAAACGCCCCCCGAAAACCGATTCAAAGCAGGGGACGCAGACAGAAAGGCTTTGTGCCGCGTGGTATACGCACAGGTCAAATACTGACTTAGGACCGTGGGCGAGGTCGGCGCTCAGCCGATGAAGGAGCACAGGATCCCTCGGCGAGTCTCCCTAGGCAGGCAGAAAGGATGCTCATGTCAGCTCAAAGTCTTCAAAAGCCCGGGGTTAGAAAAGAGGACACAACACAAGACCCCAGAGGTGAAAGTCGGTCAGCATCAGCTGGGACCAGCCTGGCAGGGGAGTCCCAGGTCGCCAGGGTGGAGCCCCTGGAAAGCAGATGGGGCCACTACGGCCACTTGCCATCTGAAGAGCAGGTGGCTGGCTCAGAGGTTCTGTTCCCGCCTTGCATTACCAAGTGTCCAGTGGGTGGCTCCTTGGGAAGCAGGGCCCAGGGTCTGCCAGTCCTGTTTGTTCGCCTTGGGCCATGGAGTCCAGGATGAGTGAGGGCCTGGCTAGGTGTGACTGCCAAGCAGGGAGGGCCTGGGAAAGGCGTGTCTGCAGACACCAGGGGCGGGGCTCTCCAGGGGCTTGCTGACAAGGCAGGTGTCCCCTGGCCAGGAGCACCCACTGGCCGGGGGCCGTCCTATGGTTCCCATGCTCTGGATGCCCATGTCTGATTCTGGAGCTTCTGCTACACGAGCCTGTGGAGGATGTTTTAGGCTGACAAGTGCAGGTCAGGCGGGTGAACAGGCAGTTGGGGGGAGAAACCGAGAGGCACGGCCACTTCAGTTACCGCCAGCCTGCTGCTCTGTCCCCTGCAGGGTCCTGGGTCCCTCTCCTCCCCAGCATTCCACCATCTGCCTGCGGAGGGATGGCCCAGACCCAGGAGTCAGATGTCTGGTGACTTCCTGGCTTGTCCCTGTCCCGTAATTCTGGACTGTCAGCATGGACAGCTTGTTCTGCCCTTTCCAGGAACCCACGTCAAGACTTGGGATGCTGGGAGCCCCAGAGAGCCAAACCGTGGGGCCAGGCTCAGGCTCCCCTCACCACGTCCTGCTGCGGGACTGCAGAAGCTTTATTATTCCCAAGAGCTGGTGTGAAGCTACCAAAAATCTGTCCCAATGCACTTCCGTAGCAGGATTACCATCTAGCAATCTAAAAAACTTGACAGTTGGGTGGATCCTGCAGACTCCACACTGCAAGAGGGGCCAGGCGCCCCGCACACAGCCCCCGACCGCTGGGGCAGCTGGGCAGCGCTGGGGGGGGGCGGGCCTGTGAAGGGAGGGGCACAAAAGAACCTTCTAGGTAACGTTTTGGCATCAAAGTGTCAAACACTTACAGGTGACCCTGACGAGAGATACGTGAGGCCCACACACTGAGTGTGAAGCATCGCGGTGGGGGGGGGTGAATTGAAGCCCCAAGAAACAGGGCCCTTTGGTGTTGTAGACACGTCTGGTCTGCCTGAGTTCCCCACTAAGTCCTGAAACCCTCGGACTTCCCGGAGAGGAGCTCCTTTAGTTATCTATAAGGGGCCCCTTTTACCACACCTGAATTTTTGCTAAAGAGGTGACTCCTGGCAGCCCCTTCAGGGGAACTTGTTCTGTGACCCCCGACCTCTGACCTCCTTGGAGGCTGGGGGTTGTCATGTGAGTCAACTGAGCCTATGTGGCCTCCTGAAACCCCTTGGACAAGACCATGAGGTTCGCTGAGGCCCATTTCACAGCAGGCCCGCTGAGCGCAGGCGCCCGAGGCCCCCATCGCAACCCTGCAGTGGGGCGGCCCACGGTGTCTGCGCTGAGCCCGGTGTCTGACGGAGTGGGACTGCTGGACTGCTGGCTGGCATGGGGGACCAGGGATGCGGCTCCCGCAGGATGACGGCCCATCTGGGGAGAGGAGGTCTAGCAGGGAAGGGACACTCCTTTCTGGCCTCTGGAGCCCGGTGGGGGATCCTCCCCACAGATGTGAGCACATCACTGTCCCCCAGGACACCCTCTCTAGAAGGGCTGGCTCTGGCGCGGGGGCCAGATGGCTCCGTGTGTGTCAGGACAGGGGCCAGCAGGCTTCAGCCGGGAGAGGGCATCAGCCATCCTAGCCCCAAGTCCTGTGCTGGCTGAGGGCCGGCCTGCCCTGCACCCCCACACCCGCCATTCTGTCCCCCACTCAGATGACACGCCCCCACCCCGTGTCTGTGGGCTTCACTTCAGCCCCATGCCCGCCCTAATCGCCCACAGGCCAGCCTGTGACTGGGGCAGCTATGGGATGAGGCACCTCCAGGGAGGCATTTCCAGGTGAGCCAGGGCACCTGGCAGCAGAAAGCTGAAGCAGCTGCTGACAGGATCCTGTGTCTCCAAGTTGGATATTGGCTGACATTTTGCAAACAAACCAGCTGCTGAAGCGGACGTGCACGTCTACGCCACGAGAGAAGCCCCACTTCCCAGATCCTTAGAGGAGTCATGCCAAACCAGGGCTGGAGCAGAGGGATCGGGGCTGTGACGGGTGCCCTTGGCACCTGCCCTCCCTGCCTCCGTGCACCTGAGTTTTCTCACCTGCAGGATGTGAGTGTCCACTCCTGCTAAGTCTCACGGCCTGTTAAAGGGAACCCATCGAAATCCTGCCCCACCCAGGAGCCGTGCCCCAAGCCCCAAGGGCGAGCTCCCTGCTCCAGATGAGGGTCCCATATCCACATGGCTCACCTTTGTCAGGACCAGAAATGGTTTTTCCCATAGGCCATCATACCACGGCTGTGTCCTGGACCCGTTCAGCCCAGCACGGCATAAGGAGTGAACACGTGGCGAACACCGTGCGTTGTGTCCACGGTCCTCACCTGGAAACCTGTACCAAGTCAGTGCAGGTGCAGAGGACACCCTGGGTGAGTCTGGCTGGGGCACGGGGGTCTGCCTCGGTGCGGCACCTGGGCTGTGTTCTGGGAAGGAACAACAGGCTCCTGGGAGGAGGGCAGGATGCAGGAGCACCTCCCTCCTGCCCAGGCCCGACAAGCTCTGGGCTGCCCTTGAGGCCCGTCGGCCCTGGGAGCCCTCCCATCCAAGGGCAGCCAGGCCGACCCCGGCCTTCCCCAGTGCTGCTGGGGGCTGGGATCTTGGGTGTTCACACTTGGAGGCTGTCTTGTGGGTGGCAGTATTTTAGGATCTGTGGGGGGCTCCACAGGAGCCAAGCATCCTCCAGCCTCGGGAGACACCTGGGACTCTCCTCAGGAGAGAGTTTGTGGGGTCACAGGTCACAAGGTCATGGGCACCTGACCTTTGGGCCGTGTGTAAGCTCTAGTGAGACCTGCACACAGGCCGGCAGTATGTTCATGTTCTGCCTGCCCCTTAGTGAGAAACTGGAAGAGGTAAGGTTCCCAAGGTCGCCAAGTCCCCGAGGCCACAAGGTCCCCGAGGTCACCGGGTCACAGTCTCCCCATCAGGCCTCAGGCCCCAGTGACTTCCCGACTGCAACGGGCTGAGGGTGCTGTGTGGGGGCCACCACCAGGGGGCGAGGCAGGGCCGGTGGGGTCCCTGTGCCAGGTGGGCTCAGGTGGCGTGACTGTGCTCACACGCTGCCCTTGGGGGCAGCTGTTCTGAGGGCGGCGGCTGTGGGGGTGCCCCATGCAGACGGGCACCCCTGAGTCCCTCAGAGCCCTCCGGACTTGGGCTCCTAGCTGTCCTGCTTGTGCCCCTCATTCCCTCAGCTACAAAACAGGGGTGATGATAGAGCCCGTCTCCCTTGTACGTAGGATGTCATGGAGTCACTGACTTCACACGTGCAGAGCTGCTCAGGACAGTTTGCTGAGCCTGGCACGGAGCACCGACCCCCTGGTCACGGCTGGCACCTTGCTCTCTCCGAGACCCCTTTTTCACCTACCCCAGTGCAGCTTCAGGCCTCACACTCACTGAGCGCTGAGTGCCCTGGGCCGTGCCCTGTGGGCGGCAGCTTCAAGCACCCCTTTGCGGTGCCGTTATTAGTGATTAGGGAACCACGTGCAGGTAGCTGGGATGCACTGGACACCCACTTTGTCTCCCCCACTGGGATGGAAGCTCCAGGAGGCCAGGGGTCTGCCTCATCACCACCGCATCCCCGGCACTCAGAGAGGCTCGACAGACATGATGGATGACACTGGGGAAAATGCTGTGAAAATGAAAACTTGTGAAAAACAAACTGACGCAGTGTGATGCTGACCTTGTAAAAAGCTCGTTTCCATTCCCACACGCAGCACTCTCTGTATCCAGGAGAGAACCACTGGAGAGGCGACCATCTGCAGGTGTCACACGGCAGCCAGGTCCCCACCTGGCCTTCAGCGGCAGTGCCTCTTGGGTCTGGGGGCAAAGCCGGAGGTCCTGCCGTGGGGCGTCTGGGGCGGGGGGGCCATGCCACAGTGAAGCTGGTGGCTCGCTGGGGCTGCCCAAGGGCACTGCTGGCCTCCCACTTACTGGTGTCTGAGTAGGCGGGGAGTCCACAGGGACCAAAGGGGTGCCAGGCTGGGCGTGGGGCCTGCAGCCACCGAGGCCGGCACCCAGAACCACGGGCCAAGCCTTCCTGTGACAGGGCGTGCCAGCAGGTCAGCCTGCCTCAGTGCCGCACAGGCTGCGGGCCTTGGAGACCGGGTGCTCTGAGCAGGGGGAGGCCAGGGGAAGGCTCCCAGGGGAGTCGACCTCACCACCCCCCTGAGTGTGAGCGCTGTGTCACCCCCTTCCATCCGCCCTGGCTGGCTGAGACAGGAAGAGCCCCTAGGCCACCAGCGCCCTCAGGGGCCGGCCTGGCTCCCTCCAGCTTTGGACAGCTGGTTGTTCCGACGCCTTGTGTTACCAGCACCAGATTCCCGGTTCTCACTGCTCTGGGCGAATGATTTCCTCAGGGTCGTTGGCTCTTCAGTCTCCAGGTGGCAGGTGGTGCCCAGGACGGAGGCTCTCCAGCTTCCAGAGCCACCTGCTGCCACTTGGGAGGGGGTGGGTGTGAGCAGAAAGGACCCACAGCCACCACCTGCAGACCAGGCCCCGGGGCCCCTAGGCACCCTCCTTCCCACCCAGGGCCCCTGCAGACACCCCCAGGCAATGGAAGAGGGGCAGAACCCCTCCAAGCCTTGAGGCTCAGAGGCCCAAAGAAAAACGAAACATGCGTCTGATTTGGGAGGGTTTCTGTTCTGAACTAGTGAGAGGTCATGGCCACAAACCCAGAGGCCACGTGTGCAAACATGGAGCCTCCTCTCCCTGGAGGCCACTGTGGCCACAGCACAAGCAGCAGGAGGCTCAGAATGAGGCCAGTCACAAGCGGCAGGAGGGATCAACACACAGAGGTGAAGGGTGGTCCCAGGACGGTCACGCTCCTGGTTGTGGCCTCCGCCAGGCAGAGGGACCAGGGAAACAGCCAACTGAGCGGCTCTGTGGAAGGCCTGGCCTGGGGACCCCGGGGCAGAGGCCTCCCTGCCCCACCCGCCCAAGGGGGAGACCACCAGCCATTTCTCCAGAAGCTTCCTGGCACCTTTCCAGCCGGTGGTCAGGTGCAGGGATGGGCCGCCCTTGTCTTGTGGGTGTGGGGCCCCGGGCATTTGCCTGGTGGCTCCCTGTCTGGAGATGAGCAGCAGCCCCAGCCTCCAGGGTATGTAAGATCGCCTGCGTGTGGCATTTAGTGCCTGCTGCATCGTGAGTGCCCAGCAGAGCACCTTCCCTGCTAGCCACTCGTCTGACAGCCTGGCCCATGCGCCATGCCTGGGAAAGCTGGCCAGCCTGCCTCTGAGCCTCCCTGCTGTCATCTAGGTGGCAGTGTGTGCCATGCGCACATATGTGCACACTACACACGTGAGGAGAGCGAGCACGTGGCATGTCTTGCAGAGGAGGCTGGCCCACACGTCATCAGGCTCAGGCTGAGCCACATGAGCGTGCAAACATGCATCTGCGTGGCCTGTGAAGCTTTGCCACGAGGAAGCCGGTGGGACATGGGAACTCCCAGGCACCCAGCCCATCTCCCTGTGGGCAGTGTCCTCGGTGCCCTGATTTCCCCTGCGTGGCCCTCCTGGCTCTCACCAAGGCCCTAGAGACAGCCAGCTCTGAGCACGCTCCACTCCTGCTGCAGAGCTCAGCCCCCAGGCCCTCAGGGAACAGCGTCCAACCCCCTTGGGGCTCCCCCAAGATGGACCTGGGGCCACACTTGTGGGCCCACCACAGGGCCCTGTGGGGGATTGACCTTGGGCGTTCGCAGGATCTGAAGGGTAGGCGGTGTGATCAGGGCCACTGGCGTGCCCCTGGGGCCAGGGAGACTCAGCCTCCACACAGGCAGCCCCCGAGCTCTGCCCCTTCCCAGTGCACGTCGTGGGGAACCAGATGTATGGAGTGTCAGGGTCCCTTGAGGCCTTGAGGGGGCATGTCCTCTGTTCACCCTTTATTGTGTCTTTTCAAAAGAGGGCATCATCCTTCGCCCAGGGTCAGCAAGTCACGCCTGGGAGGTCTTTGGCGCCCCTGAAGCTGGTGTGAACAGCACCGGTCAGGGCTGCTTGTCTGGCCCACCTGAGGGACAGAATGGAGAGCGGAGGGCGCTGGGGAGGCTGAGCGGAGGCGAGCAGGCATCCCAGCCCCCTCTGCTGTGCTCTCCGTACCCCCAGGCTGCCCCTGTTTGGCCCCCAGGTCATTTCCAAGCGCAAAGTACCTTCTCCATGCCTGCTACGCACCCTCCTTCTGGTGGAAAACGGGATGCAGCACAACCAGCTGGGTCTTGTCCTGGGGGCCAAGAGGGGTGCAGGATGGGAGTGGGGTGTCTCCCAGCCTGGCAGCCGGGCCGCTGCGCCTGGAGCACGGAGCCCAGGGCAGCAAGCCCAGTGCCAAACTCCTGCCACAGGGTCTCCTCCCCAGCTGCTGGTTCCACTTCATCGAGTCGAGGGGAGCCAGGGGCTGGCAGCCAGGGGGTGCTCCGGGCCCTGCGCAGAGCTGGGCCTGCCTCCCCTCCAGCCGCCCTGGCGGCCTGAGCCAGAGAGACCCCCTAACACCAGAGACCTCAAGGGCCAGTGGCCAAGCGGCTCCTGACCTCAAGGCCAGGCTGTCGCGAGGGTGGACGGGATCGACCCCCTGACCAGCCCGGTCTGTTTCCAGAGCCTCTTGCTTGTGCCTGTCCCCCTGTGGAGTGGCCTCTGGGTTTCCATTTCCAGCCAAGGCTGCCTCTGAGATGAAGCAGGACATACGGGCAGCCACAGGCTGCCAGCACACAGGCGCCCAGTGCTGGCACGCGGGCCCGAGGGAGGGGGCTGGGCAGAGCGGGCTTCGCTCTGAGACAGACTGCAGGGGGGCAGGGCAGCAGGGCGGACAGCAGACCCCCCCATGGAGGGCCCCCAGGCCCCTCCCACTGGCCGAGTGGGCTCCGGTCCTGGTTCCGGGGCCCTGGCTCATCTTGCAGGTTTTCTGGGGCAGCTGAGTCAAGGGGGAGAGAGCCAAGCACAGGTGACCGAGAGGGTGGACTGCGGATGGTCTGTCCCTTGGGGCAGAAAATAAAGCCACCGAGCTGCATCCACTGTGGCCGAATCTATCAGCATGTCCATTAAGAAAGCGGAATAGAGTTGCTCAGGAAAGACTGCCCATCATAAGCCCAGGTTGGGAGCAAGGACAGGGCAGCCCTGACGTCCTGGTTTGGCCAGTGTAAGGGGAGCTCACAGGAGATACGGGGTCTCCTGAGTCAGATGGAGTGAAACCTCCTCACAGAAACTCCCCAGACGCCCAGGTCGGGGGAGGGCAGTGGTCGCAGCTCCGGCTGAGAGGAGGGGCGATAGGAGCAGTGGTGGCGCCACGGAGGAGCACGGGCGCACCCGCACCACGTCTGTGCTCTGGTCCGTGTTCCCTGGATGCCACTGCCTGGGCCGGACTGGGCCTCACAGAGCGTCCTTCCTGGCGCTGTATTCCCGTCGCTGCCATTACTAAGATGGCTGCTTAGCAGTTATACAAAGTAGAGTAATTCCCTTTAAAAATGTGCAAGTATTGACTGTTTATAGTTCATGATGCGTGATCAAAACCGAAAGTTTCTGTGAGGACTGCCCTTGCACTGCTCACCATGTAAGAACTTATTCACCATGGAGGAACTTGTTCGTTATGCTTCAGAAGATTGGAGACTGTTGAGAATTAGGCTGGGGGTGGATTAATGACTGTGCATTGAGTTCCCTATACAGAATTTTATTGTTGTTAACAACCATTTGATCAATAAATATGAGAGATGCCCTCTCAAAAAAAAAATGTGCAAGTAAATGAGTTAGGAGGTAGTTGTTAATTCTGAGCGGTGGGGAGTTGTGTAAATTGGGATTTTTTTCTTTGTTTCTCCATATTGTTAAAGATGAAGCAGCTCTATAGGCCCTGGGCAACATGGAGGTGAGCATCTTGCCCACTCTCCGCGTCTTCGATGGCCTCAGGAGGTGGTGGGTTCATGGGCCTTACCTGACCTCCACCTCAACAGATGGGGAGAACCAGGCCCAGCTCCTGCCCTGGCCTCAAGCCTTGACCCCTTTGCAGAGACACCGGCCTATGTGGTGGGCCCTCCACTGCCTGTGGGACCTGGGTCTATGACCGCTGCAGCCAGAACCCCACGCCAAGAAGCTGGAATGACCCACACGAGGACCCCCCACCACCATGTTCCGGCTGTTTGTCGGTTGATGGAATGGGGAGCGGGGTCTGGCTCTGGGGCACGGCAGGCTCGGGTGCAGGCTGTCCCTAGCCCGTGGCCCTTGAATGCCGTGGCCAGCCCTGCAGCCCCCCCGGCCTTGTTAAAGGCCGGGGGCCTCTGCACGTACCCAGGAGGAGGGGCGGCGAGTCCTGCGCTCATTTCTGCCCACCTCCCACAAGGCAGAGGAAAAGCCCCGACTCCCGACGTGAGCCCCTGTGTGTCACTCACTCATCTTCCGACAAATCCCCCTGCACCCATCTGGGGCTGCTTCTCTTCTCCCAAGGCGCATGCGACCCCCTGTGGGAAGCAGCAGGAGCTTTGAGGGGATGGAGCGCACCAGGCAACCGTGGGCATCAAGGGTGGACCTGCCGGGCTTGCCCACGGGTCACCGGGTGTGGAGGCTGTGCTGGCTCTGAGCATCGTCCCACAAGACAGGGTGCTGTCCAACAGGAATCTCTGATTAAGGGGTCCTGACCAGGCCCTGTGCCCTTGAGGTGGGCCACCATGACCTCTGGGCTGCAGGTCAGGAGACCTGGGCCCTTGACCCAACTTTGCCACTGGCTGACATTCCTTGGGTCCTTACAACCTGTGGTGCCCCCTTGATGGCCTTGTGGGGGGTTAACAACCAGCTCTCTCCCTCTACAGTATGTCCTGAAGGCAAAGAGAGAGGAGGTCCAATCTGAAAAGAATGACAGGCAGCAGCTTAACTTTGCCAAGAGAGAACTTCCAGAAACTTCCAAAAGATAACTGCTCTCTGCAGCAGGGAAATGGAGAAAGACGTCCAAGAATGTTTGCCTCGGAAGGGACCACACTGGCCATTGGGTCAACCAATTCTTTTTACAGAAAATGGTGGGGGTGATGGTGGTGGAGGTGGTGACGATACCTAATTCTGAGCCTTTCTTGGTACCAGGCACTATTCCGAGGGCTTACAAAACCCTCGGTGGGGGTGCAAAGATGCCTGTTTTACAGACGAGACAGTTGAGGCACAGAGGCAGGGCGACCTGTTTGAGCACCTACTGGAAGAGCCTGTGCCCTTTCTTCCACCCCTGCATGGCCCCACAAGAGGGTATGGGGCCCACGGGCACCCTGAAGTCTGACCTGAGCTCTGGAATCTCTGGTGGCACTGGAAGGCATGTAGGTCAGAGTGGGGGAGGATGGGGGAGAGGCGCAGGCACCCCCTGCCCGCCAGGCTGATCCTCAGCCCCCAGAGCTCGCCGGCCCACCTCTGCCTCAGCCTCTCACATACACACGTGCATGGGGCAAGTTCCCCGGAAAAGCCTCGTGGGCCTGAGCGTGAGCATCTCCCGAGGGGCAGTTTGGCGTTGCCTGTGGGTTTTTACCTGATCGGCATGGTCTCCCAAATCGATCTCCACCAACACAGATGGTTTCTGTGAATGGAAACCAAAGAGGCGTGGGTGAAGGGCTCAGGTGGGCTCACGGGGAGAGGACAGAGACTTCCTGGAGAGGCACGGACCCCCGGCTCGGGCAGCCAGGGTCTGGGCGATCGCACCCGGGGCCCCTGAGATGCTGGTGGAGAGCTGCTGAGCACGGCGGCAGGTGCCCATGGCCAGCTCTGGAGACCTCAGAGGGAGGAGTGGTCTCCCCACCTCCCTGCTTGCCTCTCATCAGGTCTCTGAGAACCAGGCCTCCAGATGACAAGGCGAAGCCGAGGGCTGGGCGGTCCCTCCATGTCCTCTGACCTGCCCACAGACCTCCTGGGCCCCACCTGGCCTAAGTTGGTCAGACTCGCACTGCAAAGCAGGAGGCCCGAGCAGCTCAGGTGCTGCTGCCCCGAGGCCTCTACCTGGGCAGTCGGCACTGCCGAGAACATTTCTGGTGGCAGTCTCCAGTCCACACCAAGAGACGTCCTTGGGAGTGGGTGGCGGACTTCCCCGGCCCCTGGCATCACAGCCAGCTCCATCCGTTGTCAGTCCTGGGGAGTGCACCCAGCGGCCTCTGTGCTTCCCCCCGCTTGGACTGGGAGGAGAATGAAAGCTACCTTCCCTCAGTTAGCTGCGAACGTCTTTCCTGCAGCACGGAGGTGTCCCGGCGTGTGTCTGGCCCACGGCAAGCCGAGTGGCCTTGTGTCGGGGCCACACACGCCTTCAGCAGCTGTACTTTTGGCGCCGAGCAGAGCTTGGGCCCCGTGCTCCCTAGGGGTTCGGGCAGGCTCCGTCCAGCCTGCAGCATCGCCGGGCTGCGATGACCCCGGGACCATGCGCCCACGGCACGCTCCCCATCTGACTTGATACTAAAGTGAAAAGCTCTTGCCTGTCTTTCCAGGTTATGCAGCTTTATGGACTGCGGCTCCTGTCCCTGTAAGAACACACCAGACAGGTCATGAAGGCTGGACTCTGACCTGAGGGGACACAGCGCGAGGGTGCTGGAGCCACACGCGACCTGGGCCTCCGGGGTGCCCTGCTCTGCCTGCGCCTCCGAGTCGCTCCGCTCCACCTCCGGCTCTGACTTCCTGTCCTTGCGGTCCTGCCTGTCTTCCTCCAGGGCTGCCTGACTGCAGGGACGTGAGAGCCACGGTGGGAACAGGGGTCATGGAGACGTGGCTTCATGCCCACCCTTACCCCTTTTGGGCGTCAGCAGCTCTGGGGGCACTTGAGCCTGCGGCATGCCCCCCGTGAGCCCTTCTGAGGCAGGAGGGCTGGGTGGACGGGCCCACAGGGGTCGAGGGGGAGTCGCAGTCGGCTCTGCCTATGGACAGCTCATTGGTGAGTCCCACAGGCCCTGCCGCCTGCAGATCCGGCCCCTCTGTTCTGGCGATGGAGTGTGAACGCTCCCTGAGACAGGCGTCAGCTCCAAGGCCCTGGGACCATGGCTGGGGGGCTCTGGGGAGCCGGAGCGGGGCAGGCACGGGAGAAGGCTCAAGGCTTGAGGACCGCCTCAGGGCCTCCTGCCTCCAACCCCCCACCTGTGCCCTCGGGCTCTTCTCGGGGCCTCCCACACCATGCTGGTGCCAGCCCTGCCACCCCCTGCACCCCCTCACTCTGGGAGCCCCTCGGGACAGAAGCCCCTCACCGGATGGAGCCCTCGGCTGTGCTTCTTCGATCCTTTCTCTCATCTTCAGGCTCTGAGGAGGAAGGAGGTGTGTCTGTCACACGGCGGGCAGGCTGCAGACCCCACGGCTCACCTCGCTGGCCCCTCCAGCCCCAGGGCCCAGCAGTGCCCAACTGCCCACCTGACACCTGGTGGTTATGAGTGAGCAAGTCTGGATTCGG